TCAATCAAATATGTGAGAAGTTGTTGGTAGTTTTTTAATAATGTATCATCGTTTAACATATGTCTATCATTGTAGTGTTCAGGTGAGCAGAGAATCGATGCTGCCTATTTCATGGATATTACTAATCTGAAATAGAATAGTATATGATTATGATATGAGCTAAAGTACACAACAAATATGCATTTATTTTCGAGTTGACTATTTCACAAACACACAACAAACACTAAAGAGTAATAATTATCTACAAAATGATGAATGTTGTTTATATTCTATAAATAATAGTGATTTTATCACTTTCATAGGTCATTGACTTGATATTATAGTTCATGTCGATGAATGATTTAAATTAGCACACCAAACAAGATCATAGGGACGGCCATAGCGTTTTTCAACATCACCTCCAAGAGGGCAAATCATATTTAATTTAGTTTCACCATGAATAATAAACAATGTTTCAATAACGTATCGTAATATAGTCGAACAATCATCTGGTACTAAATCAATGAAAAAGAAAAATCAATAATGATAAAGATGATGATATTGGTTTATAAAGATAAGTTTACTTACGAACAGCAATGATTGCCATCTTATACAAGTCCAACTCGATATAAGGTCGCTGATGAATAGAGTAAGCAACAAATTTCTCGAAAAATGAACGCTGTTTTTGTATCTGTGGATATGAGAAGGCATAGGCAGCTGGTGGTAATGGTACATTGTCTAGATAAAATGCTACTCTACGATTGTCTATGGAAGTAGTTGCCATCACAGCAGCTAGATTGGGATCAGTAGTGGAAGCATTTGGAAAATAAGAAACATTTTCTTCCAATGCTGCGTTCCATGGTTGAGGAATAAAACACCAATAGTTGGGATTGCAATCGAGAAATGAGCGAAGTGCTGCTGGACATCGAGCCGAATGTTGATAGAGCCGCATTTGATTAGCCATTTCTTTCCTACAACAATGATGACAAAGAAAACAAAAAACAGAGAATATATTGCATAGTCAAAGGAATGATCGTATTTGTTTCATTACTCTCTCTCGTCCGGATCGATTTGTGATCCTCGAAATAGAGGACTACCCGTCAATTTTTCATGTATAATTCGGTTACCATGTTTCCGGTGATCTACATTATAAGAAGAAGAAGAAAAGAAATAAAGATATGCCCATGACTATCATAAGACGATTTATACTTACAAACCATAGCATCAGCCAATGATTTTCCTGTTGAATCAACATAATCATAATGACCACATGGACATGTCATTGCATAGACTATGTTTGATGTAGTACATGTCTAAATTTCAATAGAAGACTACATTGATGAAAAATGAAATGTTCGATTAACAACATACAGCTGAACAATTGAGATAGGTAGTATAACCGTTGACAAATCGATGCATTGAATTTGAAGTAAAATCAACGATAGGCCATGGTTGACTTTTCTTGTAAGTATGTAACGGAAGACAACATGAACAAAGGAGATCACCACATGGAATCAATGCATATCTTGCTTGAGGTTCATCACTTCCACAGAATAGACCTTGAATGTTAGATCGAGGTTCAGCTCCTCGAAACGAGCAAGTTTTCATGTAGAATAGATCCACTAAAGTATATGAAACATATATGAAACATGTATATATCTACCCTGAAGCCTAACCATCTATTTGTAGATAGAATTCCAATGCCATAGCCATTTGTTTCGAATTCAATGTTGGTTCTTTTAAAGAAACATCACTTTTAAATAGAACATGTCGTCGAAATTTTTCATGGAATGCAAGAAGAGTATGACAGATTCGACGAAGTCGATCAGCATTGAAAGTAATGATTGATTTGCCTACTTGTAATCGTGTAGCTAGTTCTTCAGCATCTTGTTCAGATAAACTAAATCCATCAGAATAATTGTAGTTGCTCATTAGCATTAGTGCATCCGATGTGTATGCTCCCTGTTGACGTCGAGTGATCTCATGAGATGCAAGACGATTCGCTAAAAGACCATGAAATGAAACGATTTATGATCAGTATAGATTGAATGCAAAACAAAACGAACCTGGTACATTAGCCAAGAGTAAGCAATCATTTGGACCATCATATTTGCTTGGAAATATAGGTAAATAAGCATATCGCCCATGATTATGTTCTTCTAATGTTCTTGGTTGATATCCACATTGTTCATTGCTAGTTAGTGAGTACGCGGTCTGTTCTGCTTGATTTGAATCAATAGTATTTGAATCCATATGTAATAGATAGGTTTTGAAATTGTGGTAGGATTTTGTATTTTGTTCCAGTGGTGGTTTTCGTCGACAAGCTTCTATCTGAAATAGAGAAGATTATGAATGAAAAGTTGTTGTTTTTCTTTTTCTTATAGAGATGTCTTAATAATGGACAAGTATTTTATTGAATGAATATTTTTGTTACAATTGAACAAATTCTTTACGATTATGATCGATTGTCTCCAATGCTAAGAGTTTGGATGGACTTAAGGGAGATTGTATGAGTGCTTCAATTGTACTTTGATCATATGGTCGATAAAGTTGTATCAAATGATTCTGAACCAATTATTGACCTAATTCGTATTCATTTATGGTCTCCTTTTTTTGTATACTTGTTGCTTGATTGATCCGTTGAAAGAGAAAAATTAATCTATTTCTTTTTTAGATAATTGTGTCTTACAGAACTTACTGGTTATATGTTATGTTCAAATCTAAATGTCAGAAAAGATTGAAAGAAATTTCGATAAATATCTAGATGTGGTTGTTAATCGAACAGGTGGAGTGAATGATGGATGCATCTTTGTTGTTTCTTGACATTGAACTTCTATTTTAACTGTAGACGTGAACGTTGAAAAAGGAGATTGGATGATTTGGTCGAATAGTTTAGTCATCGATAATTATACGTTTGTTGGATTTTTTCTTCTTTCTTTTCGTATTGTCAGTAATTATTGTAATAG